AACGGCTGCTATGATCCTGAAAACGAAACATTGCAGGAATTAAGAAGATAGAAGATAAAGATTAATATTGCATTTAAAATTTATAACATTAATGCTAACCAAACCAAACCAAACCAAATTTTTCTTTTACAGTCGTGTTATTTTTTTACATGATGAATCTCCCAAGATTCCTTTATATAAATGGTTGTAAGAAAACTAGAAGAAAGTTAACAAAGATAAAAGTTATTAAACGGTATATATATATATATATATATATATATATATATATATATATATATATATATATATATATAGTTTATGCAAACTTAGGTAATCCGTATAGGTAGACCTGAGGAGGATGATATCCAGAGAGCTCAATGTAAAATTCAGAGCAGATATGTTTGAATAAAAAAGACCACGTTAAGATTCCATGTAATAAGCTATTTCACCATAACCCCTTTAACAGGGTTCTGGATCATCAGACTTTACTTCCAAAAGCTGAAATATATATATATATATATATATATATATATATATATATATTATGAAATGGACAAAGTCCCTCAATTATTTTTAAGACATTTTATGTTTGTACATTCTTTTTATAGATACAAATATCTAAAAAAACAAAGCATTTACTTAAATATTTGTGTCTAAAAAGTAATGTATAAACATAAAAATCATATATATATATATATATATATATATATATATATATATATATATGAGCTTACAAAATATAGATTGGTGTATAGTCATATTTTTAATCATAAAGACAATAAAATGCCAGAGGTTACTGAGTGTGAAATAATACGTGAAAACATGGCCGTAGCAGAGACATGTGTCTTGAGGGTGGGGGCCTAAAAACTTTAGAATTTAGCCTTGTGTTATCAAAGGTCGCCAACATGGTCAGCGGCAAGAACATGACAAATTTCCAGTACATCTTTGTTTTGATAGTCTTTTTTTCTTTCTTCTATGTCTTTCCTGATTGTATTTTGTTCAAATAAAACCCTGTAAAAATTAGTACAATTGGTAAAAATTTTCGTAGAGCTAACGCCAACCACCTCGGTCTCCCCGGCTCTATCTTAAACTCTGTTGAGTATACACAGTAATGTTTGCGCTCATTTGAGCTGATTATAAAAGTTTATAACAGTTTAATAGTTTATAACAATCCATGACAGTTTATAACATTATGACAGTTTTTAACAGTTTTTAACAGTTTATAACAGTCTATATCAGTTTATAAGTCTATAACAGTTCACAACAGTTTAACAGTTTATAAAAGCTTATAACAGTTTAGTAAAACAGTCTATAAAATCTTATAAGGATTTATAACAGTTTATCAGTTTATAACAATCTAAAACAGCTTATAACAATTTATATCAGTTTAACGATCTATAACACTTTATGATAGTTTATAACTATAAG